AAAAACTCAACTCATCATGCCTTTTTGTTAGATATATCGGAGATGGAATTTGTGGCAAGTGGCGCTGGTCCACGTGCATGGGTCCGCGGATCAAATTTTAGATAGTTCACCGTCCAGGTCAGTCAGTCGCCTACCCCTCCGAGGTCGATTTATTGATACCAGCTTGTCTGGCAGAATAAAAACACTGACTCGCACATCGACTTGCTTCACAAATCACTGTACAGGCCAAATCGCATTAGAATGCCACTACGATGTTACTAAGACTTTGAATGGAAGAGAAATGCGCGGCGCATCCCTTTAAAATTAACCGATTTTTTATTCATATAACCTTGATTAGTCACGAAATGTGCAATAAACTTGACCCTCTCTGCAACAATTTTCTGAATGACTTTTTAAAATTATAGAGCTAACCTTCACGGTGAAAGCACTTCTGTCCGCCAATCGAGACCTCTTGAGCAAGGTTTTCAGCTCATTCAAGGCTATGACCCACTTCTTTCGTTCCTAAGGAAAGAAAAAATTGAAAGCGGAATGTACTTGGATGTGATCCTAATGTAAAACTGTAAAAAAAAACCAAGTTAGAAAACGGTTAGACAAACCTCTTGGCTATCCGCCATCAACAGCGTATATTGCCTTGTCATGTTACCTTCGTCCGCCATGGATGAACCTTGAATTTGACTGGTCGTGATGCGGAAAATTTTAGCCAAATCGTTCCTGAAAATACGAAAAGCGATTAACGATCAAGATAGAACTATCGGATACGTGACTGAAGATTGGATACTAATATCTTGATTCTCTTTGAAAAAGGCTGATCTAATTAACCCACTTATTAGCATGTATGACATCCTGCTCATTGACGCCTGTGACACCAAAGTCAGGATCCCGCATATCGAGAACCTAAACGATAATTAACCGCCGCTATTTTCATTCTCCTATTGGAAACCTTATATAGAAAAACTTTTGAAAAATACCTGTCTAATAACCGGCTGGATTTCATTAGCCTTATTTTGCCTATCCGTAACACAATCGTAGAGGTACAGCTTGAAGTCGCATACAACAACATATGTATGTTGCCAGCCCTAGAACAATTTCGGTAAACTTATTTATTTAGGGCAAAAGAGATCAAATAAGAAACACTAACTAGCGAAACCAAAAGCTCAATCTTCAGTGTTCTTCACAAAACCTCTGCTCACCTTTTTCACACCACCCGCACGAGGCGTCTTTACCAATCCTTCATACGCGGTTCCGACACCTTTGAGCGGATCTATCCCAAGTGGTCGACGAGCGTCTGGTGGTACAGGACACTGCGGTACAACTCGAGACGAGCAATGCACATGGCATGCATAGTGGCAGGTTTGGCAGTACAACCCTGAAACAATAGAAATCATATAGAACTAAAGCAGTGATGTTTCTTGAGCCTCAGTTGACGAATTCATCCCCAATCCCAATAAATCTATCAAAACCTAAACTTTGGAACGAAAACTGTACGGAAATTTTTGACTCTCACATCAGCTTGCCCTTGAAACGTCATGGAACTGAATCATGAAAGCGTGTCTAACCACTATTACCCTCTCAACGATGCGGAACGAATGTTACTTGCTAATTAAATAAACCGTCAATAAAGTTCCGCACTAGAAAACCGGTTCATTCAGGAGAAATGTCTCTTCGATTAAATTAATAAACACACCTTGACGATCTAATCCAACCAATATCGACGTGCAATGTCCACATTTCGTAGGCGCATTCAAGTGAACGTGCTGAAACTGATGACCACGCCCACTCAAAGCATTGTTCAGCGATTGGATCACCTCAAATGGTCGAAAAATTTAAGTGTAAAACATCACATGAAATTCAATTCAATGAGAAAGAATTAACGCTATAACAATTTTTTCAAAATCAACACGTTACCTTGGGGCTGGCTCCTCGATTTCCTACTAGCATAGTGGAAGCTGTCGACGGGGTTTGACTGTGCCTAACCGTGTTCTCGTACGCTGGCGGTGGTGCTGGTGAGGGAATCCTGAAAAAAAAACACGGTTTTTGTTTTCAACAAGTTTAGCCATTAAGAAAATGAAACATACCCAGGTACACCGTATCTCCTGCTGTTCGAAATCTCGTAATCGGTATTAAAGGAATTGTGCACCGACTCACGCGGTGTAGATGTTCGACCTTGAAATGAGCGTTTAGAAAAGTGAGACACAATGATACGCTCAATCAACGTTAGAACTGGGTGAAATCGCTCAATAATCATTGAAAGGTTAAGTCAGGTAGCAATGTTTTCCTGTTGCAGTTCCAAGAACAGCTAACCTTCGGGGACCATATTGAAGAACGCACGACCATCTTCGACACTGTCACGGTTACCAGCACGTAGTTCTGCTTTCAATGTCTCATTCTCCTTCCTCGCCGCCGCCAACTGCAATAATAAAAACCATAGTGTAATTGTAACAAGTGCACTACATTCGGGACAACATTAAGTAATTACTTTTCTTACAGTACATTCCAATGTAACGACATCTGTAGCCAGTAGTAGCAATGAATGACTGCAGATTTTATCTCCGGAACTAATGAAAGCGCGTCGGAAAGCGAGTTACAGCTTCACTGAAGTGTGCTTCCAGTCAACTACCACGACAACGACATGACCATTTACTGTTTGCTGCTTTGCCCATGTAAGGAGGGAGTGCAAGGCGATGAAGCTAGCGTTAAGTTTGACTATCATGATTGCTGATATGGAACAAGCCTAGCATCAGAACATTATCATCCTCAACGGGTCTAATCCTAGTCACCAACTGTTTCAAAGTCCCATTAAGCAGCGGCTGCTGGAAGAGCATATTACAAAAGAAACATCAAAATTAAGCTTACAAGCACTTTTCAATCTGGGGCTGTTTGACATAGTTTTAGGCTTAAAAGACAAGAAGGCTCTGAGATCGCTTCACCATGCTCAGTCGTGGACACCTTACGCTAGCTATCGCAAAAATAAGAAATGAGCACTAAAAAAATATATATAACATTATCGCTCTGGTAGCGGATTTTTATCTATAACTAATTTGACACCGTACTCTGATTAGCAAGCCTGGTTAAAGAATAAAATAAGAACAAATCTAATAAACCAATAAGCAATATTCGAATTACGACTGAAAAACTAACCCTTTCTTCGCATTCGTCCAAGCGGGCCTTCGACGCAAACAAAGCCGACCGCGTTTTGCTCAGCTCTTCTTGAAGCTCGCACTTTGCTCTAATCTCAGCATTCAATGCTTTCTTATTGCGTCCAAGACATCTAAAATATAATGACGTCCGCTAGAGCGGCCTAATTTCCCAAATCAACACCACGCAACGGCAAAGTTGCGGAGGGAATTTAATCAATACTGTACAGAAATATGGAATCAATGTAGCAAACCTCCATTTTGGCCGCCTTGTTCATACGACGGGATCCCCATCCTGCAGCTGGCGTAGTGATATTGCTGTACTGACCTAGAAATACAACAAATTAGTATACTCTGTCGGAGTACCACCGCCAAAACAGTCCTCAAGATATAACCACCATAACTATTATTGATTCGTAATAACAATGGGTTTAAACACTTCTAGGGGAATTTGGACATTCTCTAAATATGCCGAAACAGTTATTAATGAGGAAGATAACAGCAATGTAGCTCTAACCATACACTGACCACTATGAGGCGTACCTCCATTCGTGCCGTTTTGCAGTTTCAACGTCTCGATATCGCCAGTGATACGCCGAGTAAGCAGCTGGAATTTGAAATCTCAATTCTACAGGAAAGATATAAAAAAAACTGCTTATCCAAAGATGCTTAGGAACTGCCTGGAAAATGAAGACCCCCTCAGGAACTACAGTCAGCCCATGAAATTTAAATTCTGATAAGCAAAGAAATAGTCAGGCATAAACAAGACAAGCAACTACAACCAGCGAACAACCTTTACATACTCTCCACTCCTCTGTACCCCTCTCTCTACCAGTGACGGATCTCGTGCAATTGCTGTTCGTTGATACCAGGTCGAGCCATTTCTCTTAAAAAAAACATTGATCTCAAAATTTCATCCCTACTGCTGTCATTTCGCAACGACTGTAAGGAGTGTAAACAACTAATCACGTTTTATAAAGATGAAAAAAGGAGTACAACTATATAAGCAATTGAAAGGAGTGTGATTCTTACATCTCGGAGTGGAGGCGTGACAGTTCAGCTCTTAATGTATCATTTTCCAGTTTGAGTTGGGCGGTGTTCTCTTCAAATGCCTTTTGAAGGCGATCGTATTGGACCTATAACAGATCATAATGAGCGCATTGATAATATCAAGCACATTCACTGAACTGCCTTACTTCCACATTTTTCGAGTTCTGCTCCTGTTGCAACGCAAACTGGGCACGTTCCTCTTCCAACCTGCTGCGAGCATTCCGAAGTTCGACGTCTTTTTCATCGAATTGCGCTTGAAGCTCAGCCAGTTGTCCCTGGAATATTCATTCGCAGGCTGCGTAGAAAAAATGCAATTATTTTCATACTATTTCCTAGCAACAATCTTAAGCAGAAGCTCCATCGCTTTTGAAGTAGCTATAGAGTAAAGTGGAAGATACTGACTGGAAGATATTAACAATTTCAAAGCGGAACAAATCGACTATCCACTCAAAAAAGAAGTTGTGCTTAAGGTCCACAAAAAGCTAGGATCACCTCCAAGTGCAAATTTTTGCAGGTGGCATCTACAAAGTGTGGTGACTATGTCTCCCATCTAAAAAATGAAGCTGCAAACACACCACAACTTGAACTAGCAAACAAAATGGGAACCATTTCGCAATTCACAACACTATTTATACTTCAGCCGTTGCGATGTGTTCACACTGGCCAAAATAAACTGTGGTAGCGCAATCTATCTTGAAATGTGTATTAACACATTGAGCCTATTTGATGAAAAACTCTCAAAACCTTCGACTTCAACGATAACGAGATCTGAGAGTGTAGATAGATTGTAATGACCAGCGCTCAAACTAGAGCTAATAGGATGCAGCGACAGAACGGTTCTCTTCAAAATCAAAGCGTTACTTAAGGCGTTAACCCATTGGGAATAGTCGCTGCAGTGGCGCGTTCGAGTCCGCCAGCGGAAGTGAAAAGTTCTCACATTCCAGCTTTGCACGCATGTCAAGTGACTCGTCTCACCCCACTCCCTGGGACTGGCTACACCACAGTCTCGCGGATTCCTCGCTTCGCAGCGAAGAGCGTGAACATGCCGTGTGCCGCAAC